TCGTGTGTGTGTGTGTGTGTGTGTGTGTGTGTGTGTGTGTGTGTGTGTGTGTGCGTGTGCGTCGGTTAATTAATCAAACGCATATAACATAATATTAACTGGCAGTGCAATATATATATATTAATATTTATTGGCAAGAGATACGCCCGAATTAATGTCTACAAGATCAATAAATTAATTATCTCTCGAAGACGATTGACGGGAAATACGCCATCACTATCAACGATACAATCGCACGCAAAATTGATGTCGCGTTCAGGAGGAATTTTATCAGGCGCTCTTTATAGAGAGCACTTCTCTTCGCGGCCATTCTTATGTTCGACGGCCGATGGGATTAACGTGAAAAAAATGACTGAACTGGCCAATGGGGACACATACGGGTAGCCGAGGAAGAAGAATAAAACATCTCAGGCTTGTAGAAGAGACAGATATTGGGGTTTAATGAAGGTCTCGGAACTTCGATCGTTGGCCGAGCCTCGTTGCCAACCGACGTCATCCCATCGGCCTTTTTCTCCTTTTCTTAATACCCGGTTCCTCGCAACGAGGTCCTTTTTTTTTCCTCTCGTGCTTATTATCTCGATGCCTCTAGATCGGATGCGTCGGTTCTTTCTTCTCTTTTTATCGAGCCTTCAAATCGTGTTTAATATTGCCCGGTCTGAATTTTCAGCACCGTCGGAATTATTTATGGCGTTTGAAATTCATATTCGTCCGTGGTATTCATCGCAAATTCGACCGCAATTGATCATATCGGCGTTCCGCGCACTACGCCAGTGAGGCAAAATATCTCGAACTTTGGTGCGCACTTTGAGCATCAAGTCGGTTTCCTGACTTCGACCTCGCGCGGATAATATTCTCGTCTGCGCGAACGAGTTGCGGCGAGTTTCTTGCTCAACTACTACATAAAAATCGACGAAATATATTCCGTTAGATAGAGTAGGTCAAGGAACTCGTGTAGAAATCTGTGAGAGAGATTAAAAAATATCGTGGTTCTCTTGACATATATATGAAAGCATCTTTGTTGCAATATTATAAAAATTGATCGTCTGATTTTTCAGTTGCAATGTTGCGGCATCGAGGGACCGAAGGACTGGGACCGCAACAATTATTTCAATTGTTCGTCGAGCGACATAGGCTCGAGGGAAGCGTGCGGCGTGCCTTTTAGCTGTTGCAAGCGAAAACCTAATGTAATTCTTTTCATATTAATTATAATACTCGCAATTGTCGCTTTGTATCATTTTCCATCAGATATCTTAATCTTAATCTGTTGAAAGTTAAAATAATTTCCCATTTGTTTCAGGAAATCATTAAAAATAAACAATGCGGCTATGATGTAAGAAAACCAAGTTATGTAAGTATTAGTATCTTATTTTTATCACGAATATACCGATTAAGCATCCTTAATTGAGATATTTACTTCTTTTGTGGCAAATAACGTTTATCGAATAAAATTTGATTAGAAAAATTAATGACCATAAATTAAATGAAACGTGACAATTATTCCTACAAATTTATCAATGTCGGTAAATATATTATAATTTTAATCTTTTCTTTCGCTGTTTGCATCGGTCTTTAAGTTTAATCTCTCAAAATCCTTTTTAATCTCAACATATCGTATAACCTCCTTTATCTATTTCGTTAACTATTTTAACCTACACATTCTACACCCACATATCACGAGTGACACCGTAGCATTCCGTTTCTAGTTTCGTCTTGTTTCCGATTCGAAACTTGCGTCATTTCGTGCGGCTGTTACGAAAGTACGGTAAACCAAGTGGAACGTGCCTCGGAGGGGCCGAATAATTTGTCTTTGGAATCGCGCTCTATCGCGCGAGTCCAGATTCGAGATAGCGAGGGGTAGTTCTCCGGGGTAGTTTTGCGCGGGTCGCGCGCGCACGATTACACAATGTCTACAAACGCGGGCAAAAACGATCCGGGTCAAGAAACTGTGGAACTTAATTAGAGAGAAAATGGTCGGAGTCCGAGAGAACGAGGCGAGAGAAGAGGAGTAGGGGCGTGGGGGTAGGGAGGATAAGAACTTCTGTGCCGGCTCTATTTTAAGAGTAGGTATATCATTCCCAATGTAATGGCTCGAAGCCCGCCCACTCGCTAATTACGCTTTCATCGAGAGAAGCCCTCGTCGCTTAATTATATTTTTTTTGTCAGGCGACCGTTAATGCACCGCGATGCGTTACCGACCGATAAAACGCGAGTAAATAAATAACGATAAAGAGCTTTTTCTGAGCCAACGTATTATAAGCGTCACCGATATTATGTATGTCTCGATATCGCCAGTGCGCGCGTGTCGTGCATATAAATTAATACGAATTAAAATCCGGGTCGACCAACGTTTCGGCAAATAAAAATAATTCCAAATTCCAAACGCGATTGAATCGCCGCGGGGCGGATCCCGCAAAAATCTGCCAACGTTACGTGTACACCATCACTAATACCGCATTCTCCCACTCGTTACACCCCACACTCCACACCGGATCGCTTCACGCAACGGCGAGCATCACGAACACTTTATTACGTTTCTCTTACTTTTCCCCTGTGGTTTAAACCGCTAAGTTATGCCCGCGCGTCAGTCGATAAACCCTCTTAAGTTTTTCCCTCCCTCGGGGTGTGCTTTGTGGATTCTGACGGCGGCATAAAAATATATCTTTATGTTGCGTGGGTCGCGATTAAGGGGAAAGCGTTTCTTCATTCGTGCCCAAAGAGCACACCGTTATTATCGTCAGAAGGGTGGGGGTGAAGCCGTGTATCGATGTTTGCTCTCGCGTTATCGGTGGACCGCAGCCACAACCGATGGCGTAATTTCGAGTCTCTAAGCTCGAGCAAGCACCCTTGTATGTTGCTGGCTTTTTAAATCAAATTCTATTTACCCCCACGGGCCAATGCAGACGGGAGAGAGGAGTATATTCGAACGGGGTTGCCTAAGAGCGGGCGAGGAGTGGCTAGAATTGAACCTCGTACCCGTCGCCGGTACTGTGGTCAGCACCATGGTTCTGCAGGTATTCTCATCCTGAAAAGTGTCGCCCGTTAAGCTGGGAAGCTCCAACTTTCTCCGTTCGTCGATTAATCTATCAATTCGCGAAAGTACGCGTTAATCGATCGATCGCTTTTTCCGCGAAGAGAAAAATTCCGTTTAAAAGAACTCGAAAATTAAAATGTCGCGTTTGAGTGAATTCACTAGAGATTGAACCGAAACGTTTAAGACAAATGTCTACAAGGATAGATGTCGGTATTTTATGTCTCGTAATATATTTTCCAGATACAGTTGTCTACGTAAACAGCAATCCGCGAGTGATATTTCTATTTCCGCGAGTGTTCCTATTTTATTCGGGCGGAATTGCGTCGCGGCACGACGAAAAATCTCACGAGAAATACGAGGCAACGCGGATTTTCAGAGGAACCGCCACGTATGTATGAATTTCGCGCGAGAGAGAGCGGGAGAAATACCGTGTCCCGATATAACACTCGTGAGCGCGGAGATTGATAGCGCGACCGCCGTCGCACGAAAAGGAAAGGAAAGTACGGACTATCGTTCATTGCACTCCGCCGTGACATCCTCGCGCGGGCGTGTTATTTCCGCCGCGTGTCTAATACACGTAATACGCGCGCTATTACGCCTCAATACCGTTTGCCTTACTTACCTTTCTAAAGGTGTACGTGTATGATGAATATTCCAGACGCGCCGATCGATCCATTTCTTTTTTTTTTTTACGCCGACGCGCGGTGCAAAGACCGGAAAAGGTAAACTTGGGCAAGAACCGCGGTAAGCAGGCAGAGCGCGATCGACCGAGCGAGCGATGCAAAGTGGTTTACTGTTAAAGCTTTAATTCCATTAAGCACGATGCTTTTTCCGCGCGGCCTGTCCCGACCGCGACGCGACCGGACTCTATAAACACACACGCGCGAGAAAGTTACAATTTTCCAGCTTCTCGGTCAGCTTCGAATTGAAGATGATTTCACTGTTTATTTACGGACCTGTGATCGCATGTATGTTAGATGTAGACGTGAATGAAGAATTCCGCACGGGACGTCTCGGAAGCCACCGCCGAATGCCCTTTTAAATATTCATAAAAGATCGCGACGCTCGATATTTCTCATTGCGAAAAATTCGATCTTGAATTACCGAATAGATAATTATTATACGATAAGTAAAGGACATCCGGTGATTCGTGATCCGGTAATGTCCCATGACAATCTGTACAAGTTTGTATTCGTTTTTTTTTTTTTTTTTTTTCTTTATTTCTCGTTCTACTTATTGATTGTTCGTTTCATTGTAAAATTTAGAAATGTTATTTGTTAGGTACATATCTCGCTGTTATATGGGTCAGATAGCAAGTAAGTATTAGCAGTGACGTGTATGTCGTATATTCTCAGCATTTTGTATCGAGATATATATATATATATATATATATATATATGTGTGTGTGTGCGACAGTTGAGAGAGAATCGATACGGTAAGTACTATGTATATCCCGCTTCTAAACAAAAACGTTACGCGCGCGGTACGGTACGACCATCGAAGCGTAGCCATCCGAAAGAATTTTGCGTTCCGCATGGCAAAACACGGCTCGTATTACGATTGATTCATTTGCGCGAGCAACATTGTGCGCACCGGGCACATTTCCCCATTGAAATATAATGTGTACTCGCCGCTCGCGTGGATTTAGAATTTTCAAAAATCTAATAGCCAATTCAAATACCTGTCGGTATATTCGCGGCGAACATTTATGGTAGATAATAATAATTATAATCTCGCCGATATATATATTCCCGATATTATATTTTGATATTATATTTTATTTTACACACATCGATGCTCTTTCGTTGAATTGTTGACAACTGTCAACGCGAAACCTCTTGTAACTTTTAGTAATTATCGTTAGTAGTTTCGCGCTCTCGGAAACGTCGCATGATTTCGATAATCCTGTTTTTTCTTTGGAAAACGCCACTTTCCGCATAGTTAAGCGCGTTATTGTATACTTTAATGAAGATAGGAGTGTAAGTCGTAAGTGCGTGCACACCGTGCAACTATTCTATAAAAGCGTTTATATGGAGTTGGCACGCGATGCAATAATACGAGTTTTTCCTGTCTCGTAATCAGTATGGTAAATTGCCAGCACGCTGCATAATCTCTTGACGGCTGGAATGAGTACTGCCTTGTACTCCGATGCGCAGCGAACGTCCGAGGAATCAGTTTACGCCTCGTAAACATGAACGTCTCTCTCTCTCTCTCTCTCTTTCTCTTAACGCGCGACTATATTAATTACATGCTAATTATTCAAATTTCAATTTCGCGGCCGACGAGTTTTATTGTTATTTCGACGGTGTTCGCATCCAATTACGTCGCAACAGGATTGCATATTGACATATCGGCCGGTAAACTGGCACGCATTAATATTACATTAATTGACACGTTTAATCGAAAATTATCGAGAAATTTATAATTAAATTCGTTATTAAAATGCGATTAACTTAACCGTCGGTTTGTCAATATATAGGCCTGAAATTAATGAACGATTCGATGGGGTGATAAATTGATTTGGAAGAAAAGAAATATTTGCCGCGCATTGCGTGATCAGGCAGAGTTTACGCATAATTTTACAATTACGCCTGCGAATTTCCATGGCTTTCCGAACAAAGCCAAACGTCTGAGATTCATGTCGATTCTTTATGTTGATCGAGGAAGATTATCGCAAAATACATCTCGGCCGTAAAGTAACATCGTTCGGGCAATTATACGGTAGAATTACGTGCGCGAGGCCGGCCGACCGGCCGAGGCCGGAATCATATTACGTTAAAATCACGGAATTATACTACTACGCTAGAGCCCGATGGGATTATGCTGCGCTATAATCGCGCGCTTATCTATACGCTAGCGCGCGCGATTGTACCGCGCCGGAATTGCGATGTTATCTATGTACAGGCTATATAGTACACTCTAAAATAGGGAGGCTGCCATCGCCGCGTTGTCCCGCGACGCCCGAAAAATGAGCCCGGGAAAGGATCTCGTCGAGAAAGTGAGAAATGTTGGCAAGTGGCTGAACGAACGGTGGAGATGAATAGAAACGAGTGGCACATCGGCTCTCTCTCTTTCTCTATCTCTCGAAAGGCTTTTTCCACCGTCAAATTAATCTTCTCTCGCCCGCCGCTGAAAAATTTTCGCCACTCGTAGCTTACGCTCTGTCAGAGCCTCAATTAACTGCGCTTAACCAAAGTCACGTTGGGTACACACCAGACCCTCGTCGTCTATTTTCCGCCTTCGGTCTTTCCCAATCTCGATCCTGTCATCGTGCGCATCGTCGTCTGCCGCTTTGACAGGCGCGCGCGCGCGTACAATGTTGAAGAACCAGAATAAATTAGCAGTTTCCGCACCAGGAATCCTTCGACGGTGGCGGCAGAGAAAGACGGGGCAAAGACTCTTAAGTAATTAGGACATCTAACGCCCCGCTAATGAGGGAGTCGCACAATATCGTCCGCGTATCGGGGAAGAGACGGAGAGGGACGAGGTTGAGGAAAAGTTAGGTCGTGAAGGGGGATAGAAGGTGAAAATGAAGCAGCAGGTTGAAAGCCTTGCGTAGTTACTCTCTCCGGCTCCTTGAGGGTAAACGCGCGAGGCACGACGTAACAGAGTGGGCTTGTTACTTAGGCTTCCCCTCCCTCCTCAACTCCCCGTAAAT